AGAAGTTGAACCACCCCGACTAATGGCGTGATTACGGAGATAGGCAGCAGTAAGAGCGGCTTCACCCCACCAGCCTTTGTCCATGTGTGCATCATGTAGCATGGAACGGACCATCTCAAGTAAAGTGCGGTTGGCGCGCTCAGCTACTCCATTTTGCTCAGGTGTGTATGGCGTAGAGCGGTGGCGAGCAATGCCATGAGCTGTAAGGAATGAAGTGAAGGCTTTGGAAGTGAACTCCAAGGCACCGTCAGAGCGAAAGGCTTTGATGGTGTGTGGGGAATGCATGTTGTGTACCCGTGTGACATAAGCCTTGAAGCATGAAAGTGCCTCCGATCGGTGGCGTAGGAGATACACTGTAATGTGGCGGGAGTAGTCGTCGATGAAGGTGAGAAGGTAGCGAGTGCCGCCAAGGGTAGTTCCATATGAAAACGGTCCAGCAATATCGGAGTGAATGAGTTGGAGTGGTGCTGTGGTGCGAGAATGGGACACGCCAAACGGTTGACGTGTTTGTTTCCCACGATAGCACGAGAGGCAATGGGGAATCGAGGTGGAGGAGAGGTGAAGACCGGTGACCAGCTGCTGCCGATGAAGTGTTGACAAGTCCTGCATGTTGAGATGCCCGAAACGACGATGCCAGAGGTACGAGGAGGTAGTGGTGGAGGCTGGACATGCCGTTGGCTTGATAGAAGGAGCAGCACTACTCCCATGATGCAGTGGAAGATAAAACAGGTTGTTGCGGGTATAACCCTCGCCAATAGGAGTGTCATCAGCTGTGAGAACAACGCGCCCAGCAGCGGGGAACGAGACGGCAACGCCGGCAGCACCAAGTGCACGTACAGAGAGCAGGTTGTGAACTGAGGAGGGGAGAAATAGAACGTTGTCCAGCTGAATGGTGGTTTCCGATGTTGGTGACCGAAGAGTAGCCACCACCGTGCCGACTCCCAAAACCTTGTAAGTCTCTCCACCACCAAAACGAAAAAGGATATCTTCGTTTGGCTTCTGGAGAGACGAAAACAGCGAACGCTCCGAGCATATATGGGAGGATGCGCCGCTGTCCACCAGCCACGACGAAGTCCGGTCCATGTTGAATGCGGAGGCCGTGAATGCCGATGCGTAGGGAGCCCCATAAGGGAAGAGGAGGAGGAGAAGGAGGATGGTGAAAATGAAGACAGCAGCAACGAGAGGAGTCCATGAGGAGATAATGGGGTGGTGGCTGGTGCTGACAGCAATGTCAACGTACTGGGAATCAGGTACAGACCGAGGGGCTGATGGGGCAGGAGGTGGTGTGGGGGTCGGAGTAATTTCAGCAGAGGAGCTGGTGGAGACATGCACCGAAGGCTGGATGACGGATTTCTCCCGTTTAGAGCTTTCTTCAAGCTCTTTCTTCTTCTTCAATTCGTAGCATTCGTCGATGGTGTGACCAGTTTTCTTGCAGTAACGGCAGGTGGGCGACTGGCGGGAACCGGAGCGAAGAGGGTGGGAGGGCTGAGAATTGAGGTTGTATGCACCCTCCATGTTGCGGCTTGTACCAGATTGTGATCGCTCCCAATCGGCATCGAGCAGGCGTGATTGTAGGTATTCAACCGTCATAGACTTGATGTCTTTCACGGTGCAAATGGTTTCAGTAAGAGTCTTGAACGAGTCCGGAAGGTTGAGGATGATGGAAATTACCACCACCCATGATGGTAACTCGAAGCCGGCAGATTTGAGTTGGTGTGTAAGGTTTCCAACTCGATCGAAGTAGGAGCGAAGACTTGTTGTTGGGTCCATTCGAGTAGTGATGAGATCCCGGAGGAGAGCCACTTGTGCATGGTTGCCTATGCAGTCGAACCGCGCCATGATGCATCCCCACATATCCTTTGTCGTGTTTGCTTGAGCAAGAGTGAGCGATAGTTGAGGATGGACGGCCGACATGAGAAGATAGTATGCATGCTCCTCTTTTTCTTCATCTGGCAGCGAAGCAATTGAATGGGCTGTTTTAGGGGCTGCACCGCTGTTGCCTTCGGTAGCCTCTCCACCGCTGGTTGTGGAAGAGGAAATTGAAGGACGCGAAGCAACCTTGGGATCTCCAAGGAGGGAGATCAGCCCAAGGACGTTGAAGAGCAGATCTTTTTCTTCCATGCAATGAAGTTGGAACCATCTGGTTCCAAGATGGGAAGGGTGTGCCGACCGAGAGGCGTTTCAACTTGAGCCATCAAGTGTGCAACGTTCACTAAGCTAGAAGCCTGGCTCTGATAGCATGTAGAATGAGGATCGGTGAACTTAAGGCACAATGAGAGAAGAACAATATATCCTTAGTAGGAAGATGGTACAAGCCTGAGAGGCTAGAGCAATGTCCTTTGCCAAGGATGATTTCTAGAGAAGTAGGAAGCCACATATATGTGGCTGAACTCTTGAGGCTAGCTGCAGCACCTCAAAGCTGAGGGCAAGGCTAGCCAACCTTGCCAAGCTAGCAACTGAGGCCACATGTTGCACATGTGGTCCAGGCTGGAACAACAGCCTACATGGCAGCATGTGGCACACCATAGGGGCCAGCAAGGTGAGTATGGGATGAGTGGACAGATGGCAAAGCCAACTGTGACCACACTTCATTGTGGGTGAGTGTGGTGGAGTGTGGGAATGTCATGTTGGGCATAATGAGAAAAGAGAATGCAGCTCCTGAGAGGTGAACCCACGACCTCTAAGACCAAAGGTGATAATCTACCCACTGGGACATTCTTGCTTGCACAACAATCCCGAATTAAATTCTCGAACCGCGGGTTTTCCGACTCGAGCTTCCGGTCTTCCGCCTCGGGAGTTTGCGAGCTTCAGCGAACAGGGTAAACGAAATTTGATTTCCCCCTGCAAAATCGCCGTAAGCCTGCAATGCGACATTTCAGACGCTGCGACAAATTTCACATTGAAATTTCTGTGCAACATTGCACATTTGAGGCTCGAGCAGAATCGTAATCGCTCGCCAGTTTGCTCTGGCGATCGTTAATTGCAGTGTCGAGAGCTGCGAATTCAGGTACCCCTATATATATTTGTCTTAAAAAATCGTGAACAATTTCAGGTTGGTGACCCGAGCTGCTCCATTGCAGCTCGTGTCTTCCCAACATTTCGGATGACATTTTTAGCGGATGACCCGAAGCTAGGAATGCGCCCTTACTCGCAAGTGACTCTTCCCCCACCCTTTTCTGTCGAATAATGAGCGAGCATTTGTCTATTCGACAAGCATTACTCGCCTCGCTTCAGTCAAGTATTCTTGATAAGACGATGCCTGCCTGGTTGAGTAATACGGTTGAGGCGAGGCCTTAGTCTCAACCGCTTTTAGTAAAAGAAGGATATAGCCAGCTTTCACTCCGCTGCTTGCTCATGTCTATTTTGGACTGGATGGAGCTCTTGTTCCTTCTTTTCATGTGTGAGTCCCTGTTCACCTCCATCTGTCCACCTCCACCCAATTTTGACATGCCACAGTGCCATCCTCTTCCGTGGTAAGCGAAGAAGACTCTGGCTGACCTCAAGCAACACAAATGGCTGTAGATGGGGAGTCAAACGAGTTAGCTGAAGCAGTGAAAGGGCTGTTTTCATTGGTGAGAGGGGAGTTTTCATTGATGCTGGAGAAGAGAAATGAAGGTTTGGGGAATGAGTTGAGGCTTGCACTGAGTATTGTGGGCGAGAGGAGTGAGCTGGCAACATTGAAGGAAGAGTTGGCTGCAGTGAAGGGGGAATTGGCAACAGCAAAAGGAGAGTTGGGTGAGCACAAGCATTCAAGTACATCGCAGCTGGAGGAGGCTGAGAGGAGACGAGTGGCGGAGATGAGGGAGATGAGAGGGCAGGTGGAGGAGAGGGAGAGAGAGCTGGCAGCAGAGTTGGCGGCAGTGAAGGCGAAGCTGACTGAATACACAGACGCTATTGCCGAGCAGATGGATTTGGCTGAGAGAAAAAGGGAAAAGGAATTGAGAGAGCTGAGGGAGCAGGTTAGAAAGGGAGAGGATGAAATGAGGGCAGAGTTGTCAAGGGAGAGGGAGGAGAGGAGGAGGGAGGTGCAGGAGTTGATATGGCCACGTGCCATGGAGGACTTGGCAGCCTGCAAGGCTTGGGTGAATGTTGAGCTGGAGATTATCGAGAGTAAAGGCCCTCAGAAGACTGCATGGGAGGTGAGTGTTGAGCGAACTGTTTTTAGTGCGTTAATCGTTTGGTATTGTAACAATGCATTTATTGGGCGCATGCCATAGTTGGCAATCTGCAAGGAGTGGCAGCTCATGAATCAGTTTTCATGGCAGGTGAGTGCTGAGTTAATCAGTTTCACGGGATACGGTATGCATTGTTTGGCAGGCCATGCATTGTTTTTTTTATTCCTGGGCTGCCCGAGAAAAAGCCCAAAACTTCATAGCTGCGTGTAGCATCCTGCGCCTGATGTTTAGGAAATGTTTAGAGGACATGCATGCTCCCATTCCATCACACTCATCCTTGCCTGTTGGCATTCTATGGCGGCGCACGGCAACATAGGTAAAGGGAATGATGCTCCAGAAGAGATGGAACTGAATGTTTTGCTGGACATGAAGACTTGCACCTTGTGAACATCTAATCTCAGTGTGTGCTGCACCTGAAGTGATGCTTACAGCTTGCCCTCCTAGCCTCTGAGGTCGTGTGTCACCACAACTCACCACTGAAGTATCCTACCTGCTGAAGGAAGAGGCAATTGCAGCAGTGGCATCACTCCTGTTGAAACGCACAAGCATGGCTGTTCCTAAAAAATGATCGTCATATGTTGTGGACCTACCCACTAGTTTGAATTCCTACTTGCCGCTACTGTAGCCATACCTGTTCTACCCCTGCGCATCTCTGCTCCAGCCCCAGCTCCTTCCAGGACATGCCATTATGGCGAGGGCATGGCGCTGCTAGGTGCAGCAGAGGGGAGATTGGGAGCGAGAGTGGGGAGGCAAATATATAGGCTGAACAGGACGGGAGTGGGCCATGGGGACGGGGGAGAAGGTGGGGGACTGGGTGACAGCACATCAGTGTAGGTGATGTGGAAGAGAGGGAAGGATTCTGCCTGGAGATGCGATGACAACAGTGTTGCTGCTTGGCTGGTATGGTGTGGGAGCAGACGAGAGGGTGATGGCGGGCAGAGGAGGAGGACCTGAGGTGGAGGGGGAAAGTTGGTTCATACACTGGACGGATGAAAGCATTTGAGATGAGGTGAGGTGATGGGCATAGCACGACAGCGTTGAAAGAATGAGCAGCTGACGGTTGGAGAGGGTAGGAAGAATGGACGGGGCACTACTGGAGGAGGTGAGTGGGGTGGGAGGAGGTGAGTGGGGTGGGAGGAGATGAGTGGGGTGGGAGGAGATGAGTGGGGTGGGAGGAGATGAGTGGGGTGGGAGGAGATGAGTGGGGTGGGAGGAGATGAGTGGGGTGGGAGGAGATGAGTGGGGTGGGAGGAGATGAGTGGGGTGGGAGGAGATGAGTGGGGTGGGAGGAGATGAGTGGGGTGGGAGGAGATGAGTGGGGTGGGAGGAGATGATTGGGGTGGGAGGAGGTGAGTGGGGTGGGAGGAGATGAGTGGGGTGGGAGGAGATGAGTGGGGTGGGAGGAGATGAGTGGGGTGGGAGGAGATGATTGGGGTGGGAGGAGGTGAGTGGGGTGGAAGGAGTTGAGTGGGGTGGGAGGAGGTGAGTGGGGTGGGAGGAGATGAGTGGGGTGGGAGGAGATGATTGGGGTGGGGGGAGGTGAGTGGGGTGGGAGGAGATGAGTGGAATGGGAGGAGGTGAGTGGGTTGGGAGGAGGTGAGTGGGGTGGGAGGAGGTGAGTGGGGTGGGAGGAGGTGAGTGGGGTGGGAGGAGGTGAGTGGGGTGGGAGGAGGTGAGTGGGGTGGGAGGAGGTGAGTGGGGTGGGAGGAGGTGAGTGGGGTGGGGAAGATTGTGAATGCTGCAAGAGGCACAGAGATGATTTCAGTATGACAGCTTATAAGGAGGAAATTTGACAATAAATTTGGACGAGGAGACTCGCCAGGGGCTTTTGACGAGGGACTATGACAAGAAATCTTTGAAATGCAAGGGATGGACGTCGCTGTATGTGTTGGCTTGCTCGTCTTGATTCACACGGGGAAGTGCACTCTGTTGCACCCCTGCCCTGCCATGATGCGCTAGGAAGTGGTGCGACGAAGGGCAGGAGTGGAGGGGAGGGGGGATAAAGGGAGGGGAATCAACGAGCATGCAGTAGAGAAGGAAGGGTGGAGAGAGCTGCAGTGCACACCATAGCGCCCTGCCATGATGCGCTGGAACAGGTGGAAAGGTGTGGGATTTTGGGTGGTGGAATGGAGGGTAGGGAAGGAGGAAGAGGCAATGAGGAAAGCAATGAGGGAGGGGAACGGGGTAGGGCGAGGGGAGGAGCATGCTGTAGCGCACTGCCTTGATGGGTTGGAAGAGCTGGAAAGGTGTGGGTTGTTGGAAGGGGATTGGGGGATGCAGGGGAGGGAGGAACGAGCATGGGCAAGCAATGTGGAGTGGAGAGAGCTTCAGGCCACAGAACCCTGTGTTAATGGGGTGGAAGGTGGGAAGGGCGGGGAGTGGGTTTGCGATTAATGGTAGAAAGGGAGGAACAAAAGTATGGATCTCCTGTCTCCCGGATCCTGGTTTGTAGCTCGTGCTGTGTGCAACTAAGGGAGTTGGAAACATGGGGGGGCAGGGAAGGCAGAGACCTGCCAGAGCTGTTTACCACCAACTATTGCAGTGAGGGCCGAGGCCAAGGCAAGGTCATTGTGGGTGGATGATGGGACGATAGGTGATGGGTTGATGAAATTCTGGGGTAATGGGTCATGGGGTGATGGGGTTTTGAGATAATTGGGTGGTGGAATCATGGTGTCATGGAGCGATGAGATCAAGAAAATGACTTCCCCATACTGAAAGGGCCAAAATGAGAGACAGCGCCAATGGAAGCGGTGGTACCAGGCAACAAATGAAAGCACAGACCTCATTCGGCAGTGGCAGGTTCGATACACGGCACAACTGACCTGCCGATCGTTGATAGGTGGGTTTGTTGACTGTAGCGACTGCAGGGAATGGATGCTACTGGCTGGACTATGCACACCTGGTGAGTGATAATGTTGGGAAGAGTGGCCAGAAGGAGAGAGAGCAGTGGGGCGGGTGCAGGATATGCTTTTAGGACCAGTGTGATGGACGCTGCTGGCTACACTCTGCACACCTGGGGAGGAGTTGATGGCTATGGGGATGGGGACGGGGATTGGGACGGGTATGGGGGGATAACTAGCACTGCCACAACCACAGGGCATTCAGCAGCAAGGCACTAAGCTTTTGTGGATTAACCTTGAACACGGCCAAATCACCTGAGACCGACCTGGTACTAACGTTGAGCAATGCAAAGTACTAAGCTGCAATTACGGAAAAAAAAAGTAATTATATAAATAGAAGATGAACAAACAAATGAATAAGTGAATAGATAAATTAATTAAAATGACTCGATCAAAAGTGGGCCAACCCGTTTGGTTGGTTTAACTTAAGGTGCTGAGCCGCGACAAACACAACAGAGAGGTTTGACATGGAAACCGGGACACCAAGTGCATGAACATTGCAGATTTCGCTGAGATCCACGGGAGATGCTGCTGCCGAACGGGTTCGGTTATGAACCTCGGTGTTGGCTCGACTCGATCAAACTAGTTCTCTTCGACTAGTGGACCGGTTGGACTCAATTTTGGTACGTTCTCAACCCCACCTGAGATTGACATGAGACTGACCTGAGACTCACTTGAAATTCACTTGAGACTGACCTGCAACTGACCTGCTTGTGACCAGCAGCTTAACCCGAGGGCACGGGCTGCTGCAGAGCGTAACAGAAGTGGCGCGAGTGAGTCCAGAGACTCGTTCGAGACTCACCTGGGACTTACCTGAAACCCCCTTGAAATTCACCTGAAAACTGACCTGAAACTGACCTGAAACTGACCTGAAACTGACCTGAAACTGACCTGAGACTGACATGCTTGTGACCCGCAGGTTGCCCCAAGGGCACAGGGTATAGCCGTTTCGTCCTGTAAACAGTGCGCTGGCAACATAGCAGAGAGGGAGGGCATGTCAAAGGGAGGTGATAATGCCTTAGTAGTCAGTGGACCCGCTGCCTGGGGGTAAGCATCTGTGCTGGGGGTGAGGGGTGGGGGGAAGGGGAGGGAGGGGGATAGGAAGGGAAGGGGAGAGTGTGGTGCTGCAAGAGCAGTGTGGCCGGGCCGTAAGGGCCAAAAGCGTAAGGGAAGTGGCGGGAGTGAGTGCAGTGGGGCAGGAAGAAGTTAGCGGCGGAGTGACATGTGTGGAGTGGGGGAGAGGGGGGGAGGTTGACGGGGGGTGGAAGACGGAGGGAGCAGGAAACGAGAAAAGGGAGAAATGGCATGGTGGGAAGGGTAGCAGGAGGGCTCAGGCAGGCGGGCGTCACGTGAGCGATCATAAGGACGACCCGGAATCGTGAAGGTTCTTCCAGGCAAGGGGCATGTGGCACGCAGGCAGGCAACAAGTGGGGGTGCAAGAGACGCAGGAGCACAGCTGAGGGGGCAATCGTTACGTCTCCAGCAGCGGCGCAACTGGCGGTGGTGCAACGGCGGGTGCAAGGCGAGGCGCGGTCATCGTTTGGTTGGAGCAGTGATGCCTGCAGTACTACGCACCGCACTCCTTACAAGCTCAGCCATTCCAATCAGCCCGCGAGGATTGAATTCGTCAGGAGTGAGCTGCGGGACGGGTCGTGGCAGAGCCTGGTGCCATAGTAGGAAATTGGGGTAAGGAGACTTGGGTGAAGGGAGGGGTGGGAAAAGGAGAAAAGGAAAACGGAAGGGGATGCAGTTCATGGAGGGGGTAAGGGAAGGGGGGGTGGATTAGTGGAAAGGTAGGGGATAAAGGGAAGGGGAGAAGGTAACAGAAAGGGAATGGGGTAAGGGAAGGGGATGGGTGTAAGGCGAGGGGGAGGAGGGGAGGGAGAGAGGGCAAGTGTAAAGGCAGGTTCGCGGCGTCGCTTGTGTGTGGGCGATGTTGCACGCCCGAATAGGCCACGTGTGAAAGCAGAGAGGGCGTCACCTGACATTGGAATATTTGTTCGGAATAAGATGGAATAGCGTTCGTAACTTGAAAAGCGTGACGGTGTTAGATTTTAGTTGATAAGCCTCTAGATGAGGCAAGCCATGAATACTCCCCATCACCAGCTGCCATCATCTGAGCTCTAACCGAGGGGATAATCAAGTCCTGATTTATAATATGCTTAATGTCCATCGTAACAACCTTCCGAAACCCCCTTGGCATCGGGATGTTGTAACCCTCATAAAAAGACTTCTCCGAAAACTTTCTTGGTCCTGCGAGCCCCAACGGGCAGCTCAAATAATCCGGCCGCAACTTCAAAATTGCAGATGTATTTTCCAGCCCCAAATCATTCCCTATGTAGTCCCGAAAGCCCGCAGCAAGAGGCTGACTCAGCGAAATGTTGATCTCCCGATTCAACTTTTCCGTAACGGTGAAATTCTCGCAGTGCTTCCAGTCGAGGCCATAATTGGTGGTGTTGACGGCGACAACGTCGATGAGATTGTCGGTTCCCAGCCCGCTGCATGCTCCCGTGACGTCAGCACCTGGCTGACCTGGCGGGTTACATGGCACGCCGCCATTGGCAGATGTTTCCTTGCAGACGTCCTTCATCCAAGGCCATAGCTGGATGTGACAATAACGAGGGGGGGAAAAGAGAGAGGAGATGGGAGAGACGGGAGAGAGGGAGGGGAGAGAGGAGAGGAGAGAAGGGAGACGAAGGGGGAGGTAAGGAAAAGAATACATTAGCTTTTATTGCACACATGATATGGAGGGGGGGTCAAGGGGTGGAGGAGCAGTGATCACTTGGTAAGTTTGAACACATGTGACTTCACACTCTCTCACTGCTGAACATCTGCTCCTTTACTCTCACACACCCAGTTGATACGGTTGCTGTGTGTGAGGCACGAGGCTTAACGCCACCACAGGGGCACCATATGCACAGCCACTGGCACAGATATTCACAGGGATGCCTCCCAGTAGTAATAGCTCTCTTCACGTACTCGGTTGATATGGGTGCTGTGTAGTATTTCACTTGCATTGCATCCCAGTAGTCCCTTTTGGTACTTTTGAGGCGTCTCACATGTTGGATGCGAAGCTATGGCATGTGCTCTTTGCTCACTTCCTGCTCTGCTCTCACTCACCCGGTTGATGCGGGCGCTGTTGTAGTATTTCACGCGCATGGCCTCCCAGTAGTTCCCTGGGTCTTTGAGGCAGTTGTTGACGGTCACTGTGAAGCACGACGTCCATCCCAGCGACCCCCGCGTGCCTTTCATCGCCACGTTCTCGATCACGTTCCTGCAGTGAACACGGGGGAGGAAGGGGGGGACGGCAATACAGGGCAGTACGGCATCCGGAGTTGTTGTGCAAAGGGGGCTGCTGAGGCAAACGAAAAGAGAGCCCTAAAGGGCGCAACTGAACATATAACTGCACAGCACGAGATCTCCACAGTCCCTCCTCACCGCTTGCCGTTGTTCACTTTCATGCCGTCATACGTATTCACGCACGCGCCTCCCCTGACAAGCACGCCCGACGTGCAATGGTCCAGATAGTAGCAGTGGTCGCCGTTGAACACGTAGTTGCACAGCGCCGAGTTCCCCGGGCTGAACCAGTGCGTGTAGAAGTAGATCCCCGCCGAGTCATGATCCCCGTTGAGATTCCTTCCAGAGGAAACGACAAGGTTGGAGTTGATGCGCGCGAGCATGCAGGCAAAGCTGTAATGCACGTCGGCACCGCACTTGATCCCTGCGAATATGAAGTCGTGCACGTAGTTGTTCCTGACGGTTACTCCAACTGCTCCCTTGTGCAAGAGGATCGGAGTGTTCACCCCTGCAGTCAAAGGAAAGAAGGGGGAAAGAGTGCGATAAAAGGAGGCGAGTTCAACCAGTGCGTCAGTGGTAAATCCGAGCTGAGATATGATCCCCATTCAGGTTCCTCCCACAAAACAAAACTAGGCTGGAGTTGACGCGAGTGAGCATGCAGTCGCCGCTGCATTGCACGTGGGCACGGCACCGGGATGCCAGCGAGAATGTAGTCATGGATGTAGTTGTCGGTCTCGGTGATAGCCGCCACTCCCATGTGCACGACAGTCAGAGTGTTCACCCATGCGGGCAATGGAAAGAGGGCGGAAGAGGGCGGAACGAGAAGAGGGGGCAATGGGGGGATTGGGCACAAGAAGGAGAGGGGGGAGGGGTGAGGAGAGGAAATAGCGAGCTCGATCGGAGTTGATGCAAGTGAGCATGCTGCCAGCATCTGTAATGCACGTCGACTTCCCGCAAAGATGCTGGTGACTTTTATGCCCACTGCTCCCCTGTGCAGCACAACGGGGGTGTTCACCCCTGCAGGCAAGGAAAGAGGGGGGAGTGGGTTAAGGGAAAAAGCGGGAAAGAGCATGGTGATGAGAAGATATAGTCATGGATGTAGTTGTTTGTTACTGCTGTGCCCACTGCTCCTCTGTGCAAGACCATGGGGCAGGAGGGCAGGGGGAGAGTGAGGATAAGGGGGCAATGGGGAGAGAGAGGTTAAGGGGGCAGGGGGGACAGTGAGGACCATTCACTGACCTTCAATCTCATTGACTCTGGTTGACTCCCGTTGACTCTGGGAAGCATCCCACTCACTCACCGTACACCTCATTGTTGGAGATGACAATGTTGGATTTGAGAAGTCCCGGCCCGTACCCACACAGGGCCACTCGGATCACCCCAGGCGACTTGATAAAGGAAGCCACTCCGGTGACCGAGAGTGAGTCCAGCCGCACGTCCATGCTGCGTAGCACGTCCACTCGCCCAAAGATGTTGCTCTGCGAGGGAGAGAGGTAGACGGAGTAGGGAGGAGCGTGGATGCACGAGGGAGCTTGATGACGACGTGTGGGATGAGGAAAGGGAGAGTGAAAATCAGGCAGAAGGGAGGGGCTCACCTTGCCAATCTGCACGCCGTAGGACCGATGGATAGAGATGGCGGGGCAGGTGACGCCTTTGCCGAGCTCGGGCACGGTGGTGCACTCGGGGCTGCTCTCCGTCACCGGCAGGCGATAGTTCACGTTCAACGACATGACGTTACTCGTGTTCCACACGCGCAGCACCGGATACATAGGGTTACCACCCGTCAGCGTGTAACCGGGCCATTTTGCCGACATGAGTATCGTGCAAGACTGCTGCCTCCCGAACAAAACCCCTCTATGCAGCATCAAATCCTTCTGTAAATGCAGAATAACGGTGGCGGTGGGCGGGAGAGAGGCCCTGGCTGCGAAATCAGCAGCAGACTTCACTCTGACTATGAAGACTCTCTTGAGCCACATACTGCAGGGGCCTTTTGGGCGCTTCTGAGACAGCTGGTACCCTGCGGCTATAGCGGCCCATTGCAGGGAGACTGGCCCGATGATCACCGTGCGGTGCCTCCTGCTCCACCTCCGCCTCCCCTGGGCTTGCAGTCTGGCTGCTCCGGTTGTAGCAGCAGCAGCAGGTGTGTAACCAGCTGTAGCAGCTTCTGTAGCAGCATCTGTAGCAGCAGCAGCAGTTGTCCGTCTGAGAGGGACGTCGAGGACAAAGGATTCGCCTGACGCAGCAGCGGCAGCCACAGCAGTGAAGAGCGGCGGGGGCTGGCTGTCCCCCTCACGCTGCTGCCGCACCGACTCAACCCGACGCAGCATGTCACGTTCGTCGTGACTGTATCCGTGGTTGGGAGTGTACTGGATGTGACTGTATTGAGACGGAGCTTGGCTGAAAGAATTGCCGTGTGGGCTGGTTGTGTGATAATGATGGTGGTGACCCATGCTTGATGCGTGGTGCCCCATTGATGCTGAGTGTTGCTCTGTGACTGTAACGGGGAAGGAGGAGGATGAGGGGGAGGGGGGAGTGTGGGGGAAGTGGGGCTGCGAAGAAAGGGAGAGGGAGTGTGATTGGCATGGAAACCCTTCGGTGGTAGCTGAAGCTGTTGCAAACAGAAATCGCATTGCTTTCTTTGAGTGCTTCTGATTCTATCAGCTGATCCTATGCTAACTTGTTTTGGGTTGATATCTCACCATGCCTTGAAACGCGCGAAGTTTACCATTAACAGTAGTGCCTCGAAACGTGTCAGCACGCCTTATAATGCGTACCTCGTCATGCCGTATAACGCGCACCTCGCCATCCCTTGACGCGTACGTGACAATGCTTTGCAGCGCGTACCTTTGCCATGGCTTCGAATGCGTACCTGACCATGCCGTCACAGCGGTCCGCGAGGACAGGCCCGATATGACGGCGAAAATTCCGTAGATTGTGAAGGCATTATAGATTGTCATTCTCTCGGAGGCCGCAGCGCGACCGACTATTCTTCTTCCGGGCATCCGCAAGATTCCCGCAAGTCAGATAATGAACAATACGGTAGATTCCATGACCGAAATCGACGCTAAAATGGAAAATAAGTTAGACTTGAATGAAAAAGGAAGCCCGCAGCTGCAGAAACCTTAACTGGCATGAATTGGGCAATTTCGCAAAACGCGACTGACGCATGACGCTTACTACTACGGCAATCAGTTGTCCAGAACGTTGCGTGGTTTACCATTTTACACGTTATGTACGGCACAGGACGGTCTATCTCAGAACAACGCCATAGAGGAATGCATTGGTGCAAGACACGAAACATGGCTGACAAATGCTACCACGAGAATTTTCTCGGTTGGGGTGTTTGGTGGAAGGAAGTGGCGACGGCAGGACAGTTTCGTTTCGCGATAAGACGAAAGTTCGCGACTGGTGCACGAGTCTCGCGAATTATCATTTTGATGAAGCAAGGCAACACAAAGGAGGAAACTGGCGATGGTTTGTGGGGCGGTGGGAAGGTGTTGGAGGAGCAGCAAAAGTACTGTACACCTCAAACTAACGAACAAGCTTGTGCTCACCAGTGTGTCGGGACGCATAGTAGAGGAATACTACGATGGTGACTAAAAGCGCGTAGTGAAAAGAAATGCTACTCATACCACCTCGATGAAAAAAAATGCGCGTAGTACCAACGGCGGCGCCGTTCCTTCAGTGTCATCCGTACAATCTTCCGCGCATCGTTTCCCCTCGGTTTTTCCCGGGCTGCGATCTCTTTGCCTACCTTCCTTGAGTACTCTCGAATCGCCAAGCCTCACCATCATGCAGCACGCACTAGAGATCTAATTACCGCGCCGCTGCTAAGTCACTTCGAGGGCCGCAGAAGTGCGATAGTCTAAGAAATCCTAAAAGAGGTAAGCTCCACTTTTAGTTTTCCCCAGTCAGCCCTCTGCATTGCAGGGGGGGGTGGGGGGAATGTGCAACTTTAGGTTACATACCGAGTCGCTACGAGGTCTGGACAACCTATAAACTAGCAGAGGCCCTTGACGCAGTCTTGTCCCACTCAGCGTTGTTGTCCCGGGCCCTTCCAGTGCTGCTTTTCCTCGCCATCGTTGATACACCCACGCTGTCACTTATCCTGGCTCTAGCCGACCTACCCTGTGGCCCACCGCAGCGTGTGACCAACCTAGACGGTGACTGACCCAGCCTGTGAATGGTCTTGCCGTTACTGACCGAGCTTGCCCCACCTAGCCTGTGACTGACCTGGACATGTGCACAGGGCGACTCGAGTCTACCTGAGTCGACTCGGCTCTGACCGACCCGAGTTAACTCGCGAGTCGAGGTAGGAACGACAAGGCCGATATAAGGGCTGGGACAAATATGAATGACAAGGCCAACAAGGAACGACTATTAACTAGATCAGGCCGAGATTGGACCACTAAAATGAGAGATTCAGTTGCTGAACGACATGTTGCTTGACACAGGTAAATGCCGGAGACAAGCTAGTCGAGTAGTGACAGTCGAGTAGAGACTAGTCAGGTGTGCTGTTTCGAATCACAAACTAGGCGAGTGCCAACTCGACAAATGTCCAGCAGAGCCGGGCAATGCATTGCCCATTAGGCCGGGCCGACTTGACTCAGCGTGACAACAAGTCGAGTCAAGTGACCACCAGAGTCGGCCGAGTCGAGTCAAAACTCTACTCGCTGCTCGTATGTAACCTCGCGTGCGGTTGACCTGGCATGTGGCTGACCAGCTGTTGTGAGTGACCAGCCTATGACTAACCCTGCTTGTGTCTGTCCTAGCTATAAGTGACCCCCCTGTGGCTATTGTAGCCTAGGACCAATCTTACTTGTGTCGAGCCAACCTTGTGCTTGACCTAGCCTGTGAGTGACCTAGCCTGTGAGTGACCTAGCCTGTGAGTGACCTAGCCTGTGAATGACCTAGCCTGTGAATGACCTAGCCTAAGAATGACCTAGCCTGTGAGTGACCTAGCCTGTGAGTGACCTAGCCTGTGAGTGACCTAGCCTGTGAGTGACCTAGCCTGTGAGTGACCTAGCCTGTGAGTGACCTAGCCTGTGAGTGACCTAGCCTGTGAGTGACCTAGGCTGTGAGTGACCTAGCCTGTGAGTGGCCTAGCCTGTGAATGACCTAGCCTGTGAGTGACCTAGCCTGTGAGTGACATAGCCTGTGAGTGACCTAGCCTGTGAATGACCTAGCCTGTGAATGACCTAGCCTGTGAATGACCTAGCCTGTGAGTGACCTAGCCTGTGAGTGACCTAGGCTGTGAGTGACCTAGCCTGTGAGTGACCTAGCCTGTGAATGACCTAGCCTGTGAATGACCTAGCCTGTGAATGACCTAGCCTGTGAATGTCCTAGCCTGTGAATGACCTAGCCTGTGAGTGACCTAGCCTGTGAGTGACCTAGGCTGTGAGTGACCTAACCTGTGAGTGACCAAGCCTGTGTGTGTCCTAGCCTGTGAGTGACCTAGCCTGTGAGTGACCTAGCCTGTGAGTGACCTAGCCTGTGAATGACCTAGCCTGTGAGTGACCTAGCCTGTGAGTGACCTAGCCTGTGAGTGACCTAGCCTGTGAATGACCTAGCCTGTGAATGACCTAGCCTGTGAGTGACCTAGCCTGTGAGTGACCTAACCTGTGAGTGACCAAGCCTGTGTGTGTCCTAGCCTGTGAGTGACCTAGCCTGTGAGTGACCTAGCGTGTGAATGACCTAGCCTGTGAATGACCTAGCCTGTGAGTGACCTAGCCTGTGAGTGACCTAGCCTGTGAGTGACCTAGATATAAGTGACCCACCTGTGGCTATTGTAGCCTAGGACCAATCTTACTTGTGTCGAGCCAACCTTGTGCTTGACCTAGCCTGTGAGTGACCTAGCCTGTGAGTGACCTAGCCTGTGAGTGACCTAGCCTGTGAGTGACCTAGCCTGTGAGTGACCTAACCTGTGAGTGACCAAGCCTGTGTGTGCCCTAGCCTGTGAGTGACCTAGCCTGTGAATGACCTAGCCTGTGAATGACCTAGCCTGTGAATGACCTAGCCTGTGAGTGACCTAGCCTGTGAGTGACCTAGCCTGTGAATGACCTAGCCTGTGAATGACCTAGCCTGTGAGTGACCTAGCCTGTGAGTGACCTAGCCTGTGAGTGACCTAGCCTGTGAGTGACCTAGCCTGTGAGTGACCTAGCCTGTGAATGACCTAGCCTGTGAATGACCTAGCCTGTGAGTGACCTAGCCTGTGAGTGACCTAACCTGTGAGTGACCAAGCCTGTGTGTGTCCTAGCCTGTGAGTGACCTAGCCTGTGAGTGACCTAACCTGTGAGTGACCAAGCCTGTGTGTGTCCTAGCCTGTGAGTGACCTAGCCTGTGAGTGACCTAGCCTGTGAGTGACCTAGCCTGTGATTGACCTAGCCTGTGAGTGACCTAGCCTGTGAATGACCTAGCCTGTGAATGACCTAGCCTGTGAGTGACCTAGCCTGTGAGTGACCTAACCTGTGAGTGACCAAGCCTGTGTGTGTCCTAGCCTGTGAGTGACCTAGCCTGTGAGTGACCTAGCCTGTGAATGACCTAGCCTGTGAATGACCTAGCCTGTGAGTGACCTAGCCTGTGAGTGACCTAGCCTGTGAGTGACCTAGCTATAAGTGACCCACCTGTGGCTATTGTAGCCTAGGACCAATCTTACTTGTGTCGAGCCAACCTTGTGCTTGACCTAGCCTGTGAGTGACCTAGCCTGTGAGTGACCTAGCCTGTGAGTGACCTAGCCTGTGAATGACCTAGCCTGTGAATGACCTAGCCTGTGAATGACCTAGCCTGTGAATGACCTAGCCTGTGAGTGACGTAGCCTGTGAGTGACCTAGCCTGTGAGTGACCTAACCTGTGAGTGACCTAGCCTCTGAGTGTCTCAGCCTCTGAGTGTCTTAGCCCCTGAATGTCTTTGCCCTTAACTAACCTAGCCCCCAACTAATGCCCCCAACCCCAACTGACCTAGCCCCCAACTGACCTAGCCCCAACTGACCTAGCCCCCAATCGACCTAGCCTGTGAGTCTGTGAGTCTGGTTTTGAAAGAGAGCGGTTTTTAAATTCCTTCTGCGCAGAAGTCTTGTGTGGATATGACATGCCGGAGCAGCTATGCAAATGAGCATGGGGCTATGTGCTCCCATGCCTCTTAGAACAATGATCTCATATCCTCATTCACGTGCCATAGGAGCTACAGTGCCTCACCTTTCCCTCTTGCTTTCAACATCTCTCTCCATTTGCGTCTGCCTCTACTGACCTCTCTTCACTTCACTCCACCTTTAACTAGTCCAGTGTTTCTCACTCCCTGTCCACGTTTCAGAGGGAATCTTCTCTGTGCTGAACTCAAGCATTGCTGAAAACTACCTGAACGCTGGTTGAGAGTGGATTGGGACATGGCTGTAGAAAGGGAGGAGAATGAGCTTAGCGAGGCAGTCAGAGGGCTGTTTGCAACAGTGAGAGGGGAACTGGCAGCAGTGAGGGAGGAGCTGGCAGCAGTGAAGGGGGAGGTGGCAGCAGCAGTGGCGGAGAAGGCGGCACAGGAGAGTGAACGAGGGTTGTTGTTGGAGAGCAGGTGCGTTGTGGAGTATGCGGCGAATGAGTTGAGGCACTGGCCTTTGGCATTCATTCACGTGATTCTACGCCACCATTCTTATTCTCGTTTTGTCTCCATCCCTCTCCTCGTTAGCTCCTGTGCACACTGTGCACGACTGTCATCCCCCCTTCCCCACATCCCCCCCTGCTGCCGCTTGTCCCCTACCCCACCTGCCTTACAGTCTGACTATCAGCTTGTTCTTTCGTGTGTGTGATTCCACACGCTAGTCTCATCTCTACCCGTCTGTGCCCCATGCCTATGTTGTCCGCTTGTCTCGTCCTGTGCCCTCAGTACAGAACCTGTCTTTCCTGCCACAACCCCCCTCCCTCCTCTATTCCTGCTCCCTGAATTCATCCTCTCCTCCTGCCACACCTCACTGTGCAGGCGCACGCCCTGCATTGGGCTCGCCCCATCAGCCATGGCTCGGATGACTGCAGTGCCCATGCTTCTGCCAGGGCTGCTGCTCGCCCTCCTTCTCGCCGCTGCCATCAGCATCACACCAACTGGCAGGCAGGGACGCTTCCTGTCGTATGCCGGCATATTCCCTAAACCTCACATGTCCGCATTGTTGCAATGCTCTGATGGGGTATGCATTCACATCATTGGATATTATCATCAGAAGCTGCCCTCACAGCTCTCCTGCTGCCCTCACAGCTCTCTTGCTGCCCTCACAGCTCTCTTGCTGCCCTCACAGCTCTCCTGCTGCCCTCACAGCTCTCTTGCTGCCCTCACAGCTCTCCTGCTGCCCTCACAGCTCTCTTGCTGCCCTCACAGCTCTCCTGCTGCCCTCACAGCTCTCCTGCTGCCCTAACAGCTCTCCTGCTGCCCTAACAGCTCTCTTGCTGCCCTCACAGCTCTCCTGCTGCCCTCACAGCTCTCCTGCTGCCCTCACAGCTCTCCTGCTGCCCTCACAGCTCTCCTGCTGCCCTCACAGCTCTCCTGCTGCCCTCACAGCTCTCCTGCTGCCCTCACAGCTCTCCTGCTGCCCTCACAGCTCTCTTGCTGCCCTCACAGCTCTCCTGCTGCCCTCACAGCTCTCCTGCTGCCCTCACAGCTCTCCTGCTGCCCTCACAGCTCTCTTGCTGCCTAAAGCTGAGCGCTCTTTGCTCAGTTCACTACACTTGACTTCCTCAATCCTCTTAATGCTCCACTCGCATCTTCTCTCCACAAAAACTCCGATCTTTTCATTCCATGTGTGCCGCATTGTGTTCTTATGTGCCGCCATGAGTTGCCATCGTCTGCCCGTGCTCCCGTATGCTGCCATGTGTAGGAAGCACGCCAATTTTCAAATGGAGAGAGTAAGTGGAGCTGTTGGATATATCATGGCAAGTATGGGCGGAACACACGAGTGGAAAGAGGCGATGGAGATGAGAATGAGGGCGCTTGGCGTGAAGGTGGAAGAGACAAGGAAGGAGTTGGAGGAGGCTGAGAGGAAACGAGTGTTGGAGATGGGTGAGGTGAGAGGGCAGATGGAGAAGAGCGGGGAGGATGTGGCAGCAGTAAAGGGAGAGTTGGCTGCAGTGCAGGGTGAGCTGGCAGCTGTGAAGAGGGAGCTGGCTGAACACAAGGATGCTATGGCAGAGCAAGTGGAGGCTAGAAAGGAGTCGAGTGAGATTAGGGAAGAATTGGCAGCATTGAGAAGAGACTTGAGGAGGCAAAAGGACTTTGTGAAAAGTCAGTTTGAAGAGGCTGAGAAAAGACACACAGAGAACTTCATAGAGCTGAGAGGACAGGTGGAGGAGAGGAAGAGGGAGTTGGAGAAGGCTGAGAGGAGACGAGTGGCGGAGATGACCGTAGAATTGGCAGCAGTGAAGAGGGCGTTGGCTGGGCACAAGGATTCTATGATAGAGCAACTCCGTATGGCTGAGAGAAGAAGGGAATCAGGTTTGGAAGATCTAATTGAGGAGGTTAGAAAGAAAGAGGATGACATGAGAGCGGGGTTGGCAAGGGAAAGGGAGGAGAGGAGGAGGGAGGTGCAGGAGTTGAATTGGCCACGTGCCATGGAGAAATTGGCAGCCTGCAGGAGTTGGGTGAATGTTGAGATGGGAATCATCCGGAATGAAGTTGATCGGAAGTCTGCATGGGAGGTTAGTGCTGAATGAACTGTTTTTCAGGGCAAGCGTGGTTTGCTGTTGTCTCGATGATCACTCCTTGCCATTCATTCTCTTTTGATACATCACCTTCAGCGAATCAAATCAGCATCACAAGGAACCCATCTGGGTCTGGCGAGTCTCGGCGGCCTCTCAGACGCCATCCTCGCCCATGTGTCCACAATGACCCAGCTGAAGAGCATCGACTTGCGATCTACCTCAGGCTTCAGTGCAGAGGGCATGAAGCACCTGTACAGGCTGCCACAGCTGGAGACGCTAGACCTGCAATTTACAGATGTCTCAGACAGTGCCTTGGAAGGGATTGGGTCCTTGACCAATCTCGCGGAGCTCCATCTCTGGAAGACCAAGGTGACAAATGCCGGCATGGTGCATGTGGGGAGGCTGACAGGACTTGAGAAACTTCGTCTGGGTGGGACGGCAGTCACGGATGATGGGCTGCAGCAGCTGACTGCGCTGACCAGACTGACGTTTCTCTTTCCGGCAGAAGGGGGTTACCTTATGTACGATGATGTTCGCAGGCGGATAGGCGGGTAGGGTGGCAGGGAGTGATGATGGAAAGAGAGGTGAGGTTGAGGGAAGAGTTGACTGTGACTGCAGGGAAGCTGGGGACAAGGACGAGCAAGAGAGCAGTGAGGGAAGCGAGCATAATGGACGAGCAGTAATGGAGGCGATCAGCAGTGGCTACAGCAGTGGCTGCAGAAGCAGTGGCAGCAGCAGTGGTGGCAGCAGTGGCAGCAGCAGTGGTGGCAGCAGTGGCAGCAGCAGTGGTGCCAGCAGTGGCAGCAGCAGTGGCGGCAGCAGTGGTGGCAGCAGTGGCTGCAGCAGTGGCAGCAGAGGTGACAGCAGCAGCAGCAGCAGCAGCAGCAGCAGCAGCAGCAGCAGCAGCAGCAGCAGCAGCAGCAGCAGCAGCAGCAGCAGCAGCAGTGGGCTTGGGTTGAGATTAAGGGTGAGTAGTGTCTCGCATGGCTGCATGAGGGGAGCTGCATGAGAATTGATGGCTGTTTGGGTGCAGCGTGTACAAATGTATTCACAAAGGAGAGGGTATAGTGACAGAGTGATGGTGGGAAAAGGCGGATCAAGTGATACTGAGGAAGTCATAGACATTCAATGTGGATTGAATGGAGGTGTGTGCATGCTTGCGGCTGGGCATTGGGCAAGGCTTTGCCGGTGCACAGCTTTATAATAGTAGTTGCAAAGTTGTGCCAACCTTAGATTGCAACGTTGTGTGAAACTGCGCAGGCTTTGCATGCAGGTTAGCTACAAGTGCCGTAGTCTCGCTGGCCTGATGCTGTGTGCAAGCTAGAACATGCTCCACTTTGTCAAATTCAGAATGCTCTAACTTGTACTCATCATAATAAAAGCCCAATGCATTGGATTTGTATTAAACATAGGCATGTACTATATGCATATGCAGCAGAGCAGCTTAAAACCGAAATGCAAAATAGTGAACCCGTCTCCAGCTTGAAAGAGAGCTTGTCGAGTGAAACAATTTTCAAACCAAACCGACAAGTTTGCACTGTTTCATTGAGAGCGTTCGAACAGATCGAACAAATCTGATTGGTTCCCGCCAAAACCGAAGGAAGAAACACAGCACGTCAGGCGTCGCAAACTTGCGACGTATTTGCGCATGCTTGCGACGAATTTTGTAGTTTTTTTTGTGAAGTCGAACGTGTGTGAAAAACACAACAGAACAACACTTCGAATTTCAGAAGCATTCCAAAGTTAGTATGAAATTTCAAGTGGACCCACTAGAAAGGGGGGGGGGGGTCACTATTTTAGCTGCTGGCTTTAAATATGACCTTAGCTGAGGTGGTTGGCAGGGCATGATCCATGGGACGCCGGCAGTTGTAAAGCAGAAGTGGGTCTGTGCCTGCATGGGAAAGGGTAGTAGCAGTCACCCATGCTGCTGCATGAACCACCCAATTGACCTACCGTTTTCACTGGCATGCTGAAGGCAGGGCCTCAGATTTCACTGAAAAAAGGTTGATTTAGGTAAAAAAAAGGCTGAGATTTCAGACTAGTTTTAAGAACCAGGACTGATTTTCCAGCCATTTTTTAGAAAGGAACAGGAAAAACGATGAAGTTTATAGTGTAAAATGGCATAAAATGGCTAATTTGTCTGATTTTCAGCATAGAATTTTGTACCAACTCTGATTTTTCAGACTAGCCGAAAACAAATCTGAGGCCCTGGCTGAAGGCCTGTAGTATGTGAATAGTCTTATATCACATTAATGGTTCTCACTATGACTTGATCTGCTTCAGAATGCATGGTTAGTACCGGTATACGGGAAGACAAAAGAATATGATTGCTGCCACATCTGCACCTCCTTACCACAGCCACACTCCACCCACTCAATGTACTTCCATGGCTGGTTACTTGTGCCTCATCGTATGAGGGATGCTAAAGAGAATAGGAAGAGAAGTGACCGTGCGTAGGGATACATAGTATGGGACGGGGTACGGGATGAGGGTTGGGATGAGGTGTGGGATGAGAAAAATGTATGAGGTATGGGATGGGGTGTGGAGGTGTGGGATGAAACGCACGAGCACGGATGTCTCGACAGGCATGCCTGCTCATGTGGCACACATGTGGAGCACCCCAACCATCCGCCCATGTGGCACACATGTGGAGCACCCCAACCATCCGCTCATGTGGCACACATGTGGAGCACCCCAACCATCCGCCCATGTGGCACACATGTGGAGCACCCCAACCATCCGCCCATGTGGCACACATGTGGAGCACCCCAACCATCCGCCCATGTGGCACACATGTGGAGCACCCCAACTATACGCTGAAGACCTTTCGATGTGGGATGCTAGCCATCCTCACTCCACCAGCCTCACCACCCTCCATCCCATGCCTTCATGGGGTGGCGACTGCTAGAAGCAGCTGAGGGCGGATAATGGGAGGGCAGAGGAAGAAAAGGTGTTTGAGGGTGAACAAACTTGAGAAGCGATTGGAGTGAATGCGGATCCTCTCTGTTTCCAGCATTAACCAACCTCCAAAAAGGAGGGCGAGGCATGTGTATGGGGAGGGGGAAGGAGGAGCGAGGGGCAGCGTGAAATATAGCCCCGAGACAATCCAATGAGCAGCACAGAAGAAGGGCGAGAGGGGCATGTTGGGCAGAGTGCTCCTGATTCCCTCCTACACCCCCTTCTCCACAACTCTCGCATACCCTCTCCCCCTTCCCCCTTCTGCCCAAGTCCTACCTTATTTGCCATGGCCGCTGCCAATGCTGCTGCAGCAGCAGGCATGGGGAGCCTAAGTGGTTCAACTGAAATGCAGGAGGGCGAGTGGGGCATGGGGGGCGGGACTGAGGGAGCAGATTGTCATGGTGCAGTTGCTGTGGGAGGGCGGCATGGGGTTGTCTGAGACTCTGAAGGTGCAATAGCGGTGATGATGCTGCTTGGTTAAGATCTGGGGGGAGCCGATTCGAGGGTGATGGTGGGCAGAGGAGGATGACGTGAGATGGGGATGAACAAATGGTTCATCTACAGAGTGAATGGCAATAAAGGAAAGACAGTTGATTCGGAAGCGGGTGTGATGGGTGAAGTGGAGGATGCGATGATTGAAACGGGGTGAGTGGAGAACTCAAGAAACTGGGAAGTGGGAGATGAGGTAGTACAAAGGGGATATGGCAGGGAGGGAGTGGTACAAACGATCGGGATGGAACGAGAGGGGGTCAGAACAACAGAGGGAGGTTGGAGGGCTGTGGGAAGGGGTGCGGGGGGTGCGGAGGAGGGGATTAGGACGCGTACCTTCCCTCGACCGATCGTGCAATATTGATCCTCCACCACACTGAACTCCTGCTTGATACATTTTACAACTAGCAGAACCTTCTCGAACCCCGCCAAATATCGATCCTGCGCAGGATCGATCGAGGGAGGGGACGCGTCCTTGGGAGGTGGGGGAAAGGGAGAAATGTGAAGGTGGTTTGGAAGGAAGAGACGGGTATTGGAAGAGGATGGGAGGGGATTATTGTCGATAAAGCGAGTTGAAATAGCGTTTGCATGTGAGAAAAACCCGTGTCTAGCAGGGGGAGGGGGGAGGCAGTGGGTTGGATTGTTGTGGAGATTCTGAAGTGAAGCAATCCAGTAGGTATGATGGTGGTGGTGGAGACACATGCCATTGCAGTGAGGGAATGTGTGTTACGAAGCGATTGCTACATAAAGGTGTGCATGCAAAATGATACTGTTACAGTGGGAGGAGGGGAGACAACGAAATTGATTAAGCAAACTCAGGGTGAATGTTGGAAAAGCACCCCAACACAACATTGAGAAGTGTAAAGTTAAGCACATACTGACACAGTGTCACATCCACGACTTAAGTAAGGGGGGAAGATGTAGCAGCATCAACGGGTTATGGATGAGATCTCAAGAGGACGATTCTATTTCGTCCATCATTCTGGTGGGGCAGGGTGTGGCAGGGTGTGGCAGGGTGTGGCAGGGTGTGGCAGGGGCACGGTGCCGTCAATCACTCACATCCTATGCAGCTCCTCTCACCTTCGTGTCGAGGACCACCATTCTCCCCGCAAAGTCAGCTGAGAGGTCGTTCGCAAGCCCCCTTGCATTTATTCCAGCTGCTGCCTGCCATGACGCAGAGGTGCGCTCACATTCGCCCACCATCACGATGAGAGCGACTCGCGGTGACACACGAGCAGCACGCGGAAGGACTGATTGTGTTTCGCCATCCCTATCCTCCCCAAACCCAAACGTGCGTCTGTGCATCACATCACATCACATCACATCACATCACATCACATCACATCACATCACATCACATCACATCACATCACATCACATCACATCACATCACATCACAGAACGAGGGTCTTCCGAGCCCTAGTAATAACGTCCTTTGTCTTGGCTCAGAACCGCGAATGCTTTCGATGATGATGCTTTCACAGAAGCTATGGATGGACGGGAGATTGGTGTAGTCCCAGCTGGGAAGCCCTGAGGAATGGCATGGTGATCATGCAGCTAATATACCTTGGGCCAGCCCGGTAGCAATCAGCTTCCTGCCTGCCTGGAACCAGGCCAGGAATACATCTTAAGTCAGGAACACACCCTAGGCCCGCGCAGGCAAGACTGTGGTGGATGTCGTGCTCATTGAGGGCCCGCAGTGTGTGCCTGCAGCACCTCTTCATTCTTCACACGCCTAAAAGCCCGGCATGATTAGTGGGCTGTCAGAGTCAGACTGTGGCTGCTGCTGCCTCACTCCTTTCGCCCATCCCTCCCTCCGATCCCCCTGACCCCACACACCACTGACTGGCTTCACCGCTATGAGTGCCGCTGCTGCTGCTGCCTGTGGCTCTGCCATGCTGCCAGGCTGTGTGCCGCAGAAATTAGTTGGCTCCTTAAGAGTAGTCCAGGGAAGGTGCTGTTGGAGTGGGAAGGGAAAGGGAGTGGTGACGAGTGGGCAAAGGATGTAGGAACGTCACGTACTGCTGAGCGAGGAGGACGAACTGGAAAATAGCTGCTGATGGCATTGCACTCAGGAAAGCAGTGTCCACATTCATCCTCCCATCAGTAAACTGGCCCAGAAGCACCATGCTGGGCAAAGTTGCAAAAGGAGTAAGGCAACAATGGACGGAAGAAGAAATATACTGTGATTCAGATTTCCTCGCCTACCTAACTTCTCTCATCTCTGTGTTGGCACGTCGCCCTACCCCTTGGCATGCGCTTGCTTGCATCTCATCTTCATGTAAAGCATAAAATCTCTACATGTCCAGCATGCAATGAGCAGTGTGCAGCTAACGCCCACTTACACGGCTACTACTGCCTCGCTCTTCTCCACCATGCCTGCATGCACCACTTCTCGCACAATTACTCTTGTGGCTCTGCTGTGCTGCCAGGCCGTGTGTTGCAGCAATAAGCTGGGCACCTCACTCACGGCTAGTTCATGGACGTTGCCATTGACGCCGGAAGGGAGGGGTTGTGGGTGAGGGCGCACGAGGTGAGGGCGCACGAGGTGAGGGCGCACGAGGTGAGGGCGCACGAGGTGAGGGCGCACGAGGTGAGGGCGCACGAGGTGAGGGCGCACGAGGTGAGGGAGCACGAGGTGAGGGCGCACGAGGTGAGGGCGCACGAGGTGAGGGCGCACGAGGTGAGGGCGCACGAGGTGAGGGCGCACGAGGTGAGGGCGCACGAGGTGAGGGCGCACGAGGTGAGGGCGCACGAGGTGAGGGCGCACGAGGTGAGGGCGCACGAGGTGAGGGCGCACGAGGTGAGGGCGCACGAGGTGAGGGCACACGAGGTGAGGGCGCACGAGGTGAGGGCGCACGAGGTGAGGGCGCACGAGGTGAGGGCGCACAAGGTGAGGGCGTAATTCAGGAATGTGGATCACACGGTTCATTTGTCAATGTGGCAAAGGTGCCATCCAGTCCACGCGGATTTGCTCGCCTCCACGTTGGCACCATCGTCTGCCCAATGAGACGGTGCATCATCCCACCCGTTCAGCCCGTGTCTCGCCCATAGCAGAGCTGCTTCAGCCCTGCTGCTTTAGCTTCATTAACTAGCCTGCACCTATAGCCCTGATTTTCTACCCCTGCTTGTCTAACCCTATTGTTCAACCTTGCTGGTTTACCCCGATCTATCCATTTTAGTCTAGTAGCCATGCCAGCCATAGCAGCACCGGGCCATGGCAGCTCAAGCAGCAGCAACCTCCACTGCTGTGAGCTGCTCACATGCAGGCAGGCACACCTGTTGGACAGCATGGGTCAAGCAAGCAAGGCAAGGCACAAAGGGTCTGTGAGTGAAGCGAGCAAAAGAGGCAGTGAGGCGAGCAAAAGAGGCAGTGAGGCGAGCAAAAGAGGCAGTGAAGCGAGCAAAAGAGGCAGTGAAGCGAGCAAAAGAGGCAGTGAAGCGAGCAAAAGAGGCAGTGAAGCGAGCAAAAGAGGCACAATGGTGTGTGAGTGAAGCCAGTTCAGGCACAAAAGTCTGTGCATGAAGCAGGCACAACGAACCACAATGGGCTGTGGGCCAAAGACAAAGCATGCGGTGAGCGTGGATCGAACACGCGACCTTCAGATCTTCAGTCTGACGCTCTCCCAACTGAGCTATCCCCGCAAAATTTGGAGATGCGTGGTCTCGATCCCCGTACCTCTCGCATGCTAAGCGAGCGCTCTACCATCTGAGCTACATCCCCATTGGAGGCCATCTAGGGCCCTTTATGAACGGCTGGGATTGCAGGAGAGAGTAGAAGAGGATGAAAGTAGCATAGGAGAGGGTGGGAGAGTAAGAGGGGGGGAGTAGGAGGGGAGGACGGAAAGTAGAATGTGGAGGTATCAGTGGCACCACAGCCAAAAGCAGAAAGAGAGTGCAGAGCCATTGGTCAACGCAATGTGACTCACCGGCTGGTTTCGATGAGCCCGAGGCTTGTTACAGAGAGGGAGGTTGAATCTTTGACCCAGCCAAGGACGAGCAGATGTCGGACCCCTCTTGCTGCTGTCTCTGTTCATTGGTGTGGTGGGTGGTGGGTGTTAGTGATCACACTGGCACCCGCGGTGATGCTGGTGGTGGTGCGGGTGCTGCTAATTGTGCTGCAGGGATGGGATGGCGATGAGGATGGGCATAGGGATGGGGACGGGCAAGGGGACGGGGGGACAACGACTGAGAGTGAAGGTTGCTCTATGCACACACACATGGAGAGTGATCGGATGGAGGGGGGCAGTAGGAGGGGCTGGTGAGACAGCCAAAGGGAAGGCGGGGGAGGAAAGTGGCAAACTGAATATAGCTTTGTTTGGAAACGCGACGAGTGATTGGGGGAGGGGTTGCCAGTGGGAGCTGACGGCAAAACAGCTCAGGAGAAACCAGAGGGACATGCGAGTGAGGTGGGTGAGAGAGAGGTGGTGAGCAATGGAAAGGGGTTGAGGGACGGGGAAGAGGGAGGGGGGAGGAAGGAGCGATGTTCTAGACTGTCCCTGTTAGTTCCACGGCAGGGTATCGATAGGGCAAGCATCATGCACAGAGTATCAGCACCTTGCTTGAAAACACCACTGCAAAGCATTCAGCTGGGCTGTATTCAGCCTTTAACAGATCAGCCGCCTTTCACTTCTCGACCAGAGAAACCTGAAACACAGCTGAATGACCTGGGAGCGACCTGAGAGAGTGACCTGAGAGTGACCTGAGAGAGTGACCTGAGAGTGACCTGAGAGAGTGACCTGAGAGAGTGACCTGAGAGTAATGAGATCAAGAGGCTGCCTCCACCACATCAAAAGCGTGCACACAAGAGGCAGAGCCCATAGCAGTGGTGGCGCGCCAGGGGACAAATGAGAGCACAGACCTGATTGGCAGAGGCAGCCTCGATACAAGGCATTACTCACCTCTGTGTACAGGTGAGTGATTGTTGATCGGTATGTCAGTGCAAAGATGGTGGGGGATGGACGCTGCTGGCTGCACCATGCACACCAGGTGGGTGGCTGGGGGAACGGGTGGCGAGAGGGAGAGAGAGAAAACCGGGAGGTGGGTGCATGATCGGCGGATTGGAGCAGACTGATGGACGCTGTTGGCTGCACCATGCACACCTGGTGGGTGATAAGAGGAAGGGTGGCCGAGAGAGAGAGACCAGTGAGGTGGTTGAAGGATAGGCGGCGAGTGATGGACGCTACTGGCTACAGTATGCACCTGGGGAAGGGGGGATCGCTATGAGGATGGGGATGGGCAAGTGGAAAGGCATACAGGCACAGGGCATGCAAATTCATGGCATTCAGAAGAACATGCAGCAAACACGGAGGCACCTTGAAAAACACCACCACACTCATGGCATTAAGACTCTCGCGGATCAGCCTGAAACACAGCTGAATCACCTGACAGTCACCTGACTGACCTGAGAGTGACCTGAGGGTGACCTACTACTGACCTGAGCTGAGACTGACCCATAGGTGACCCACCTTCCTCGCACTACCCACACACACCTCCTTCACCCACCAGTGACCAGTAGCAGTGAGCAGCAGTAGTGACCCATGACAGCCCACCTCCTTCCTCGCCCCACGCACCTCCTCTCCTCCTACCTCAGCTCATCCTTGCAGAACAACACCGCCACGAGACACCCAGTAGCCCGCAACACTCGTGCACCTCCGCCACGTCAGCAGCCCGTAGGGTGCCTGTGAATGAACAGTGCGCCCACGCTGGAAGGGTTGGAGTCCATGTGGGGCAGAATCCAGGAGTCGGTGCAGCAGGAGAAGCAGGTGTGGAGCTGGTGGGAGTGGGAATGGGAGAGGAGAGAGGGAGAGGAGAGAACAGCACAGTAGTGTATGAGAGGAGTATGGGAGACAGTGCCGTGGGGGCGCGGGTCCGAGCAGTGGGGCAGAAGTCAGTGTTGGAGACGTAGGTGCGGCGCTGGATAGCGGGGGAGGGGAGGAAAAGGAGCGGAAGGGAGCAGTGCGGGCGGAATACGACTCGGAATCCATTCGAGTTTGGGGCAGGTGGACGACAAGGGGGCGAGTAGGAGACACAGGCGCACACACAGCCGAGGGGGCAATCACTACGTTTCCGTCAGCGGAGCCGCGCTGGCGGTGGAGGTGCGGTGCGACCATTGGCCGTCTTGACACCCGTGGGTGATGCCCCCACTCGCACATCGCAGGCCCAGCCATTCCAATTCGACCGCGTGTATTCAACGGGACGAGTCCCGAGAGGGGTGGCATTGTATAGAGCAATTTCACCTTCCCCTCCCCCCCCCCCCCCCCCTCCCCCCCCTAAAAAAAAGGTCGACTCACCATCGCCATTGCCATCGCAAAGGCTTCGCCGAACAGCCGTCACTCCAGACTCGAGGCCCCCTCCTACATGGTCTACCACTCTTGAAAAGTTCCATCCTCAGTCCCCTTGGTCTTTGCATTCCGCTCCTTCCGTTCTTGATCGCCACGTTATGTGAGGGGAGCATCCATCTTTCCCATGCCTTGCTGTGCTCCCTCACGCGGCAATACAGCTCGTTGCTGCAGAGACCTTCCTACCTACCCCTTCTCTTCTCGTCCTTTCCTTCCGCAGCTCGCCTCCACCAAGCAGGTGTCCCCCCGTCACCCACGTGTGCCAGCCAGCTCCGGTGCAGCATGCTCACACGCCCACGCCTCACGATGCCCCACTCCCGCCTGCTTGTGCCCCTGCGCCATCCCTCGTCGTCTCACTCCTGTCTGCTCCTTTCTTCCATTCTGTCTAACCCCCACCTTCGCTTTGCCGGCCGCTCGTCAGCTCTGGTCACTGCACCACTCTTGACCCTGCTGCACTGCACCCCACGTCAGCACCCAGTGCCGCTTTGCCGACTGCTGCTGCTACTGCTGCCGAATCCTTAAATACCAATGGCACGCAGTGGCGTGGCGTATGTACAGCGGCCAGCAGCCATTGGATTGGCAGCAGTAGCAGCAGCAGCCGGCGAAGCGGCACTGGGTGCTGACGTGGGGTGCAGTGCAGCAGGGTCAAGAGTGAGAGGATGCGGAAGAGATGTTGACGCAGTCACATTCGGTTGACTCACGATCTTCATTTCAAGGCACAGCTGGTGTGTTATCGCTCGCCTCGACTTGGAGGCCATGTCCCCCCCCCCCCCCCCCCGTCGGCGCTT